TGTTTTTTTGATCCCTTTCCTGTTGTTTTCCATATTAGCTTCCTCCTCTTTTAGATCTTGGAATTCGTTGGTTAGAAATATCTTGAAGAACGCTCTACTAAAATTCAACGTTGATTTGTGAAGATTGTTGATCTTTTTATTGAGATCATGAATGAATCAATGTTATACTAATATTGACAACCTGGAATAACTAGTCGACCATTTTGTTCTACTACGAAACTCCCACGTGGGTATAGAACTCACGTCATTTGGTATTGAGCAATCGCTTAATCTACAGACGAATGACTTTGGAGCTAACGATAATTTTCGGAGTTCTAGTGAGATACCATGATTAGTGAAATTGAATCATGTCAGATATGAGGCAGTTACCCATTGAAGACAATTGGAGATGGTCACGAAATCCCGGCTAAGTAGTCTGTAGTTCAGGCATTTGCATAAAATTTGGTGATCCTAAATTTACATTCCACATATGGGATTAAGGCAACAAATTTCTGGTAAGTTTATTGTTATAAATTGACTTCTAGTTAATCACATTTTATCTTCGCTATTAACGATCAATAATACTAAAATTACTCAATAGATAATCGTTAATATCGATTATACAGAATGTCCGGCAACAGAGAGACAAGAAGATCGAACAGGAAAGAATGAAAACAGAATGTAATTTGTATGAAAATGCAAGAACAAAAGAAGTCTGAGCCATTTGAGACAGTTGATGGACATTTTGCAAATTGAGCATTTACTATATAGTTTTTAGATTTTATTAACATATTTTGTAAAACGCATTCGATTGTCCCTATTTGTGTTCGTGTTCACGACATTTAGTGTCGCTGCCAACTAGGAGAGAAGAAGGGTGCAGGCCTGGATCTGAGGTGCCGGTTGGGTCATTCTGGTGCGGAGAGGGGGCGTCTAGTGGAGTGTTCTGGCGATGCGGTGTTGTCTGTAGCGGGTGAGGTCGACGGAGAGTAGCGATGGGACATGCGGCTGCTGATCGGATATCGGATGTAGATGGCTTAGCAGGCCAGTGAAGCACGGATGTTAGATGTCCCAGGTGCCGGGTGAATGTCGGATGTTGGTGATCCGCCAGGTCGACGGAGCTATGGAGGTCAACGCGCCACAGACTCGACATTTTGACGGAGGGCGTAGCTTCGACTGCAGAAAAGAAGGATGTTTCACGGCGAGCATTACCACCGCAAGGACGACTGCTTTAGAATTGCGACAAGTGTGGTGTGTGCTACTTATATAGACATAAGTAGTATATGATGTTAGTTATGAACAGAATGTCTGACAGTAGAGAGACAAGAAGATCGAACAGTAAAGAATGAAGACAGAATGTAATTTGTATGAAAATGCAAGAACATTAAAATCTGAGTCATTTTGAGGCAATTGATGAACATTTTATAAATTGATTTTATTAACATATTCTGTAATTTGTTGTCAAAAACATCCGAATCACCCTATTGGTATTCGTGTTCACTACAGTATGTATCATCAATCGAAAATAGAATAACTAGAGGTAAAAGGTTAAGAAGATCAAAAAGATGAGAATGAGAACAATGAATGATTGATATAGACACAAAAAATAATAATCAAATCGGAAACAATTACAAGTGGGGGTATTTACTATATCCTTCTCAGATCCTGTAATATTGTATCCAAGTACATTTGATTACCTCCACTTATATATGTTCTTATCCAACATATACATCCTATTAACCAAAGGAATGCTTCATACATATTTTTTTTTTATTTTAGAAAAGAAAAACAAAAAAATATATTGATTTTTATGTTACCATTATTGATTATTCTTGAACCATTGTCAATCATAATGTATCATAAGATCAAGAAAAAAAAACTTGATTTCTAGTTACTATTTTTAATGATTAAAACTATGTTAATCAATCATTGATATGATGATCTATTTAGTTCCACATATTTTAATTATAAATATTTGACTACTATTTATAGTAATAAGTAGGTTAAGAATATAAATAGTAAGAAAGAAAGTATAATAATATTAAAGTATGTCATGTTAGCGATTTGTATTTGTAATAAATATATATATATATATATCCATATTGAAGTGAATCAAGAACTCCTCAACGGTGCACATCCATGACTCTTCCTGACGGGATTCAAATCCAAGATCTATCAGAACTGATGAAGTGTCCCATAATAGTACGAAATGGCCTTTTAGTGATTCCAGGTTTTCTATGATTGTATAATTTTATTTGACTCATGATCTCAACTATTGAAATTACTATAATCTTCACAAAATCCCTTTCTGATATACATCAAGAATTTAATGAAGGATGTTACTTATGAACCGTTTGGTTTGTAATCCAACGTTGAATCACACAAAAATTATCTAAACTAAACAGATTCTATTTAGAATAGAACGATATCAAATAGCAGTATGGTGTATGCTGCTGATATCGACAGATATGAGTAGTATATATCACCAATCGAAAGTGAAATGCTTGGTGGTAAAAGGTTAAGAAGATCGAAGAAAAATGAATGAGAAGAGAGAATGATTGGTGAAGCATTTACTGCATGATTCTCAGATTTTGCTAAGTGTTTCAGAAATATCGTATTTGAATACATTTGATTGTCTCTGCCTGTGTTCTCAATCACGATCTCAAGAGGATTCAGGATTTAGATGTTTTCCTACTTGAGATTCATCAATAGTAAAGATTGATTAAAATTCAGATTCTAATATCAACAATGAAGTTTAGTTGTAAATATCTCAGGTTGCTGACCTTATGCTCAATCGTTCTACTTTATCTGGGCTTGGGACTAACAGTAAACCTAGAAGATCTACAAGTGAAAAACATCAAACTGCATCATCAGGTAAGCGATAACATGAAATACTGAAGGGGAACAGAAAAGAGGGACACCAAACAATACACTGAGTTGAGAATGAGAAGTAGACATCAAAATGATGAATAGCAACAATTTGAAAGGATTGCCTATGACAAAGTTGGATAGGGAATGTTTGTGAGTGAACTATTCTTCTCAACGATGGGTGACAGGCGTACGTAAATTGATGATTTCGGTGATGATAGATCATTATTTAGCTGTTGATTGACAAACTTTGAATTATTTTCATAAGTGTGACTATTATTCCTTAATATTCCATCTTTGTTCAATCTATATAGCTTACCTTCTTTATATGAATGAACATACTGATTTCTACTAATCTGTCTGCTAAAGCTTTAAGGTTTGCTGAAAATGCTATACCTGTGGCCCTGAAGCCATTTCTTCCTATTTTTTACGAATATACATTGATTAGTAATAGTTGGGCGTTTTCAAATTGGTGATTCTATCACAATATCAGTTCATTTTAGCCAAACTTGATAACCCTATATGATTGTGGTGATATAATGGTAAAAAGAAAGTGAAGAAACATGTGAAAAAGCTTAGCTCTCAATAACTATATTCAGCAGTAGAATCAAAGATAACATATCCGACTGACGAGTCCTAAATAGGACGAAACATTCTGACAAGAATGATTAAATCTATTGATTTTGAACAATATAAAGAGCATCCACCTCACCCTTAAATATTACGGGTGCATTTTGCTAACAACTGGAACAGGTAGTAATCATAGAAGAGCTATAGGTGGAAATCAGCAAACTGTATAACGAGGTAAGCGATAACTTGGAATCTTAAAATAGAAACAGAAAAGAGGAAGATCAAGGAATATATTTCTTCAGGAATTGGGAACAAATATAAAACTGATGAATAGTAACTGGCGACAATTAGAAAGGATTGACCAGAACGGAGTTGAATGGAAAATGAAGAAATGAAGAAACATCTCAAAGAAGCTTAACTTTTAATAATCTTCATAAACATATTGAATAATAGAAACAAATACAAGATATTTAGCTGACGAATCCCAAATAAGACGAAACACTCTAACTGGATTTCATCCATCTTCTTGCTTAAATCTACTGGTTTATATGTGAAGTTTTCAAATGAATAGGACAAAACGGCTATCCAGTGCTTCCATGTATTCCATAGTGGTCTAACTTCAATTAACTCATGATCTCAACTATCAAAGGCATTCGGCATTCATATCTGATGTTAATCAATCCACCAAATGAAACAACACATTCATCATTGTCATCAATTGCATCAAACGATCGACTAATGCTCCAAGATTTTCTCTGTTGGTCTACCATCAATTAACTCATGATCTCAACTATCAAAATTACTATAATATCCACAAAAACCCCCTTCTGATATATTTATTCAGTTTGTTTAACATAAACTAATTATCATTCAAACATTGAAGTATTCAATATTTCGAAATCTATTGTTAACTAGATTTCTGTCTTTCAAGAATTGAGATGATCCAATGCACTGTTTCATCCAATTGTGAAACTCTTCAGCAGTTCTCATCCACGACTCCACCTTGTAAGATTCTAATCTAAAACTTATCACTCTTACGTGTAAGCCTTTAACCTCTACACCACTAAGCTGGTCAGCATTCATATCTAATCTTAATCAATCCACCAAGTGGAAGAACACATTCATCATTGTCATGAATAGCATGAAACAGCTGACTAATCCTACAAGTTTTCCTTTAATGGTCTATCATCAATTAACTCATGATCTCAACTATCAAAATTACTATAATATTCACAAAAATCCCCTTCTGATATATTTAATCATCCAATTGTAGAACTCCTTAGCAGTTCTCATCCACGACTCCACCTCGTAAGATTCTAATCTAAAATTTATCACTCTTATGCGCAGGCGCTTAACCTCTACATCACTAAGTTGGTCAACATTCATATCTTATCTCAACCAATCCACTATATGGAACAACCCATTCATCATTGTCATCAATAGCATGAAACAACGAACCAATGCTCCAAGATTTCCTCTAATAGTCTATCATCAATTGATTCATAATCTCATCTATTATCATTAGAATAAACAATCAATCAATCAATCAATCAATCAATCAATCAATCAATTAATCAATCAATCAATAATGGAATATGAGTTTATTTCAGGAACAAACCATTCACCCATATATATATGTATATAAAAATCAATAAACAATTAGAATCATAGTTACAATATTATCATTTTCTATTGTTTTCAATAGATAATCTATCTAATATAGGATTAATATTTCCATTATATTGTTTTATAATATTACTTAAATATATATCACTTTGTTGAAATCCCATATGACGTAATCGTATTATAATTGTAGATATATCAATTTGTTGTTTAGGTTTATCTTTCATAGATTTTGTTGCTAAGTTTATACATGATGAACTATATTGACTATTACGTTTTAAACCGAATTTATTAATTTTACATGATGAACGTGAATGATTTAAATGTGTTGAATATGAATTTGTTGCCAAGGCTTTATGTATATCATTGATTGTATTCGATTGTATACATGGTGATGATGGTGATGATGGTGATGGTGGTGGTGGTGCTGATGCTGATGCTGCTGCTGATGATGATAATTTACTTAGATTCATTTTATTATATAAATAATAATCATTTGTATATGGTGTATAAGTAGTATAAGATTGATAATTATATGGATAATTGATATTATATTGTGGTAATTGTAATGTAGACCATAATAAATTCATTGATGTTGAATCAATAAATGATGGTGCACTAGGTAATATATGATCAGAATCTAAATGAATTTGATTATTATATTGATCTAATATTATTGATTTATTGATTATTGATTGTTTTGTTGTAGAAGATTTTGTATCTATTTTATTTAAATCAATATTATTACTATGTTTAACATTTTCATCAATTTCAAGTTTATCTAATGTTTCTGGTAAATCTGGTAATTGTAATACATTAGAGTTTTTATCATTTATTATATGATTATAATGAATTTTGTATTGTTCACAATCATTTATTATTGTTGTTGTTGTTTGTGGTGGTGGTGGTGTGGTTGTTGGTGGTGGTGTAGTTGTTATGGTTGTTGCTGTTGTTATATAAAATCTAATACTTCTATCATTACCATTTAAACCACCTAATGTTTCCATAGCATCATGAAGATCTTCAGTGGAAATAATACGACATAGATCTTCACCATCTAGAAATTCAAATTGAATAAATGAATGAATGAATGAATGAATGAATGAAATAGATCAAAATGAGTTTTTTTAATTGAAAGTTTTCTTTTCTTTTTTTAATATTAAGATTATACAGTTTAGGATTTGAAGAGGAAATAAAACCTGACATTTGGATAGTAGAACTTAGTTCTATAAACTATTGTGAGCGGTAATTTGGTCATTTGATACTTATAAACTGATTACGAAACCCATAAAGAATCATAATACAGTTAATTCTGGTTCAAAAAATGAATGTATGAGGTTTCTGTCTACGGGGTAAATTCCAACCGATTGAAAAAACAGTTATTTTAACCTCAGTAGTTGTGTCCTGCTTTGATGTGGTCTGTTTCTCACCAGAAAGGCTTTATCAACTTGTTCGGTTGGAGGGGGGGGAGAAACCTGGAATTGGAACACAGTACTGTTTACTTCAAACTCCATTTACCTACCGAGAATGATCAATAGTAGTCGTTAATATTAATAGAAAGATTCAAACAAACAATATAAGAATGTATATAACAATTGTTTTATATCAGTCTGAGACTTACGAGGAATATACATCTATGATTCTGCTACAGACAGACAAAGATAAGACAATTATTATAGGACGCAAACATTTGACCTTTAAACCTCTGAATAGCACACCGACAGTAGGAACTTCAATAACATATTTATAATGTATGCATATGTATTTTTCCATTATGGAATCCATGAAGTGTGCTTCATTCTATTTAACACTCATCAGTTAGATGCACCTCTATCACAGTATTGATTTTCACATCACCAAACAAATGCAATCACTTTCGTTCACTCATCAAGTTACTGGGATCCGTTAACAAGTCACTTGTACCATCACTATGCTCTGAATGTCATCAATAGTAAACTTTTGAATTATTCCATTGTTGATATTCAAGTGTGAGTTCCAATCATTCATTGTTAGTATATCCTCATCCTGTCTGTACATAATCACTAAATCCACCTATTTTCTATGAACAACACAGTTCAAACCATCACTCATATTTCATATTAACTAATCGGGAGATTCTTAACTCAACTTCATGTATATTTATGGATGGGTACTATTGAGATGTGAGTTGATCACTCGAAACTGCATTCTACTCCCTCTCTATTCTAAAAGGATTGTCTTCCATCACTGACTGTTCCTAGTTCTAATGCCGTTGGAAACCAAGAATCACTATATATAGCTGTTTATTCATATTATGGGACTGCTAAGTAGTGAGCATTTACAATTTACCACAGGAATTCAAACCCAGAATTTTCGGTCTCGTGCACAGAAGCTCAATTTTTAAATTACTGAGTTGGAAGTCATCACTGTATATGAATATAACTTCAATCAACCAATTCTCGATACTGGACGACTAACCTCCGTTGTCTTCAGTGAGTTTTTTTTTCTTTTGTACTCCGGCTCATTACTCTAGAGTTTAAACATGAGACTAAAGGTCTTAGATTCGTGAATGAGCACTGACAAGAAGTCTCATACTTTGTCAAATCTTTCCACATTTTCATCGTTCGTCTAATCATGATCGTGATGAAATTCAATAGTTTCGACAACCCCTCCTACTAGAAGGTTCACCGCATGTTTTATAGGTTATTATTGTACTATATAACTATATGTAATCTGACGGTAACTGAAGTAATCTAAGCTATCGGATTCAAAGAAGTATATAACAATAAAATCGTTAAAATCGTTTCTTTAGAAGGATAAATCAATAACAGAGTTAAATTAATATACCATTATTTAGTACAAATCAAAAAGAACTTGATCATATCCACAATCTTGCATTCGGGACCGATTGAATTTAAGTACTAACACCGTTGAATACCAGTTCAGTGGCCCAGAGGTCAAGCATTCTCTCACGAGATTAAAGGTCTTTTGTTCGAGTTCCAAATACGGGATCGTGGTTGCTAATATGAATGTATCAATCAATGAAACTATGTTCGATTTGTTTTAACTAAATAATCTTTTTTTTTCATTTTAGTCCAGTTTTTATCAATATTTCTGGGATAGATGTAGAGTCAGAAGAAATGTTTTGGCAATGAATGGGTAGACGTAGTTGGATGCTATAGACCGATTCAAGTATAAAAGTTAAGAGTAGATAATCAAAGTCAAAGTAACACAAATCAGAAATGAAAAATCTGTCAACGGAAGACTAAGAAGAATGTGTTGAATAGAATAGAAACACGCATCAAACTGGATTTCACTGCTAGCCACTATCCACCTTTGCCTATTATGTTTCCATTGTTTAATATGTGTGTTGAATTCAGTATTATCGGCTGTTATGACGGAAGATTTCATTTGATGTTGTAAATATTGACATATTACATTCATCTAAACTGATCTATTCATAGAAGGTAGATGACAATAACTTTAAACTCTTGAAATAAAGTCTTTGGTGATATTTATACTTCAATAGGTTGAATTAAACGAAATGGTCTATGAGTTGAATGGTTTGGTCATGGAAATTTCATCATTCTTCTAAATGAAATCATCAGTAGAAACTTCAGTTTGAAGTGAAATATTCAAATTTCTCCACACATGATTCATTGCTTCTTCTATAGATCTCGATGTTGATCAGTTCTTATTGATAGCTCAGAGAAGAAAACTTCACTACAAATCGTCTCTACCATCTCATGATCTTAAATCTTTCAACTACGTACAGAAGGAGTAATTTTGTATCGTCTACTTTATTATAGTGAATAAGATTGATACAACTAATATTTTATGTAAATCCTTAACCCTACCATTTTGGCCATTTATTTGAACACATAAATATTGGTACAAAAGGGGCACCGAATAAATGTGCTTCACACAACTATGTGCGATGTGATACTGCCCGAGTGCCCTAACAGAAACAGGAGCTTTTGACCTAAAAGTCTGATCCACAAATCAGTGGAGCAACTTGAGAAGATGCAGTCCCATGGTAGCCCATGACCAACGTTTGGTTCATACACCATTTATTTCTTCAGGATCTTGGAGCCCAATTGAAACATCGGTTTGAAATCAGTATTTTCCAACTCACCTAGGTGGATCTTGCATATCCACCAACCCAATTAAAGCAACGGATATTCGCTTTTTGTTTTCTCAATTTCGTAAACAATACTCCAGTGGCGAGAAGACAGTGACTAAGTCTTCCGTGGTAGTGGCTGTATACACATGGTCATGTGAGAGTATTTTGTGAAGGAAAGCTGACTCACCCCACCCTAGGTCGTATTAGGGTATAGTATCTGTACATCTTCATGTAAATGCAAGAATAAGATCTTTTAAATACAGCTTAAGTAAATAGCTTCATTTGAGGAGGGAGGGGGAGGGTAACGGAGGGTATTTCAATTCTTAAATAATAAATCAATATATATGTAATCATAATAATTAGATAAATCAATAATGAACACTATTAACTTACCATACCATAATACTTGAAATTCTTTATTCATTTCATTATTATAATAATCCAATTTATAAAATATACTTTGTATTCTATTAATTAATTGTTCATAGGTTATATCATTTATACAATCTTTCACAAACCAACGAAATATACTTTCACATTTTTTATTCTGATTTATTGTTTGTATTATTAATTTAAATAGTGGCATTTACAATAGAATACGGTTGCTGTTACTGTTGTTGTTGTTGCTGTTGTTGTTGTTGTTGTTTTTGTTTATTTTCTTTTTGTTTTTAGTTGCTAGGTATGTTTAATCACTATGCTGATGCAACATATATAATGTATATATATATATATATATATAGAGAGAGAGAGAGAGAGAGAATAATAGAATCAATTAGATAAATATCCCAAAAAATTTAACATGGAAACAATAAATATCATTTCATTGAATTGATATTTATAGATTCTAATCATTGTTATTTTCAATTCGTTCTATTATTACTACTTACTACTTACATACTACTTAATATCATATGATTTATAAAGAACCATTTAGGAATGAATATAATGCAGTTAAAATGATTCTGTGCATTATAGTACATAGATATGACAATCAAATTGATATGTATTGTGTTACTATGGTATGTAGTATGTATATAAATATGAGAGAGAGGGAGGGGGGGAGAGAGAGAGTATACATTTTGGTCTGAATTTCGATTAATTTGCTTTTTTTTTTACTACTTAAAATAGTAGTTAAATAATATTGAGTAGCTTTTTTTATAATTGAGAAAGAAATTGTAAAATCATATGTTATTTCAATTGATTTGGCATTATTTAATTGAATTTTTTGATAAGTGGTTATCAGAAATCAGCAGCTAAATAGATAAACTGGTAGTGTTTGAAGAGAATGGTACTAGGTTCGAGTCCTAGAGTGAGTATTGAGTGTAAGGTGAAGGTATATCCAATTGATTAGTCCCAAATAGGACGAAATACAAGTCCTCGATTCCACTGCTTACTCACTATCCATCTTTGTTTAGAATGCTTGTGACGTAAGGTAATATCGAGGCAATACGCACAAAATGCATATATGTCAACAAGAGACTGATCGATTACAGTCATTAAAAACAATGGTAAAGTACAAGCAAAAAAATACCAAGTGAATTAAACCTTCACCGTATTGCACAAGCTAGTAGTTATCTGGACTCAGTAGCTAAGTAGATAACGTGATGGCATTTGAATAGAACGGTATTGAGTTTGAGTCGTAGAGTGAACAATAACTGTAAGATACAGGAATATGCAGGTAGGTGACGAGTCCTGAATAGGACGAAACGTGCGTCCTGAATTGCATTACTAGCCACTATCTATCTTTGATGATATCTTTTTATATAATCTATCAATAATCAAATGTATACTGTAATGAATGTACATTCAGTTGAGGATAGGCAATTTATTGTTATTTTTTAAAATTATTATTAGAAAGCTACAGTTTCTCGATAAAATATGAAAACAATATAATAAGTCCGGATGAAAGACGCAGTAGACGCTCAACCTCGAGATCAACAAGCTGGATTCTGTAAGGATCGGTCGTGCACAGACCGAATTGCGACACTACGGATCATCGTCGAACAATCAATCGAGTGGAACTCTTCACTGTACATCAACTTCATTGATTGCGAAAAAACATTTGACAGTGTAGATAGGAGAACATTATGGAAACTACTTCAACACTACCGAGTTCCTGAGAAGATTGTCAATATTATCCGGAATTCATATGACGGACTACAGTGCAAAGTAGTGCATGGAGGACAGCTGGAAGACGCATTCCAAGCAAGGACTGGAGTCAGACAAGGCTGTCTACTCTCTCCCTTCCTCTTTCTTCTGGTGGTCGACTGGATTATGAAGACCTCGACATCTGAGATGAAACACGGCATACAATGGACAGCTCAGAACCAATTAGACGATTTGGACTTTGCAGATGACCTAGCCCTCCTATCGCATACACACGAACAAATGCAGATAAAAACAGCCAGTGTAGCAGCAGTCTCTGCATCAGTAGGCCTCAACATACACAAGGGGAATACCAAGGTCCTCAAATACAACACGGAGAACAGCAATCCAATCACTCTTGACAGCGAAATTCTGGAAGATGTAGAATCTTTCACATACCTGGTAAGCATCATCGATAAACAAGGAGGTTCAGATGCAGACGTTAAATCGAGGATTGGCAAATCAAGGGCCACATTCCTTCAATTAAATGACATATGGAACTCAAAACAACTTTCAACCAATATCAAAGTCAAAATCTTCAATACGAACGTCAAGGCAGTTCTATTTTACAGAGCTGAAACTTGGAGAACTACAACAACAACTATCAGAAGGTACAAGTATTTATAAATAGCTATCTACATACGTACATCCATTGGCCTGATACTATCAGCAACAGTCTTTTGTGGCAGAGAACCAACCAGCTTCGAACTGAAGAGGAAATTAGGAAAAGACGATGAAAATTGATAGGACATACATTGAGATAATCATCAAACTGAATCACGAGACAAGCGCTAACTTGGAATCCTGAAGGGAAGTGAAAAAGAGGAAGGCCAAAGAACACATTCCGTCGGAAAATAGAATCAGATACGAAAAGGATGAATAAGAACTGGAAAGGTCTCAAAAGGATTGCCCAGGATAGGGTTGGATGTAGAATGCTGGTGAGCGGCCTATGCTCCTTCACGAGAAGTAACAAGAGTAAGAAAAGTAAGTAAGTATGTATTAAGTACTTCATTTACAAATCTTCCATTAATTGACTCTAATAAACTTCATTGTTCTTTCGTACCTGTTGTTATTACAATTATTCTCTGTTCTCTTCGATATGATCTCAGTCTTCTACTGTCAAACATTTAACTTTCTATTGATGTTACATATTACTTATATCTGTCAACATTAAGTAGTATACACCATAATACTATTGCATTTTCATACTGTACACCATAGTATAAAACTCATGTATATTTTAAAAGACTGAATAGAGAACAAAGTGATTAAAAACAGTCTTAGACTTTTCAGCAACGTTGATCCATTATCAGCCATAGGATATTGAATTCAATACCTTTGATGTTATGTAGGAATATGTAACCGCTCACCATTGAGATATCATCTATTGGATGAGATAGTTGTTTATCTCAGACAATACAAGTATTTCATTCAATATTGTGTACTGATAGAAGTTAGTATTGACTGTTTAATCACTTAAAGATTTTATTTGAACCTACTCCTGAAGGTGTTTAGAACTGCTTTATGTCACAAGAATTCTAATCAATGATAGTGTTTAGTACTGGCTATCTGAACTTGATAGCTAAAACGATGATGTTAGAAATAAACGGTACTGGCTTTGAGTCATAGAATGAAGATCAACTCTATGATAAAGGTACATCCAACTGATGAATCCCAAATAAAACCAAAAACGTGTACTCAATTCCACTGTTAGCCACTATCCACATTTATCTTTTCATAGATTTCACAATGTTTATGTGGAAACTCACCTCAAAGTTGATGAAATGAATTAGTGAGAACAGTATAAACGTAATTTTTGATTTTCACAAGCATTTCTTTGGAACAAGAATTTCTGTTACTTTATGTATCAGTAGTGAAGTTTGTCTTGTTTGTAGTTTAACTTGAACAAAACAATACATTCATATTGACTTATTATTGTGAAGTGAAATGTCCTAAATCTGATACGGATACATAGTGTGCTACGATCTAACCCCCCCCCTTCCCAACTGACTATTTGAGCGAGATCACAAGAGTGATCGAGAATGTATATTGGGCTACTGAATGAAAGGTGTAAATACTCAATCGCTAGGAAATTGATTCATTTCCTAGTTAATCAAATGCACTTGTCCTCTAGGTAACTTTTAAGGTACTTATGATAGGCTCTCTATATCAATTATCTTATAGATAAAATCTTTTATAGAACATATACTCATGTGATGTAATTTATGTTCCCACAATACATCATTTGTAAGGTACGGTGGGATGATAAAACTTCATCTTCTATGAAATATAAACAGTTGAACACTGAATAAACATGAATGCTATATGACACTGTATTTTAAATTAAGCTCTAAAAACTAAAGGTTGCTATTTCAATCCTGATTGGTTATCCAGTTTCATACTATTAAACTGGTGTTGTTTTATCAGAAGGGGTTTTGTGGAGATTTTTTTTTAGAAATTTCAACCGTTGAAATCATGAGTCAATCGAAGCTAGACCACCATGGAAAACCTGTAAGCACTGGATGGCCGTTTAGTTCCAACATGAGACTCCTCAGCTGTGCGCATCCACGATCCCGCTTCCCACGAGACACGAACCCAGGACCTATCAGTCTTGCACGCGAGCGCTTAACCACTAGGACACTGAGCCGGCCGGTATCCAACGGTACTAATGTGTAACTCCACGAAATCGCGTCACTGCCATCGTTGTCTTCAGTGATTTGATATCTCACAACAGACCTGGTTGACCTCCACTAGTAACGGCTTCTCACTAGAACTCCAGCAGTGTCTTTTGAAGTCAGTCACTAGTGAACAGATGATTGTTATCAGAAGGGTTTGGTTGTTGACTGATCACTGAATAGTGATCAAATTACAATATACCCATTTATCTATGTAAGTCAATATCAAAAGGACTATGTTTTAATATTAGATAGTTGAAAAGTTCTTTTTACAGAAAATCCTTTATCTAAGTTTTATACAAGTTAGTATTCACCAATTGAGCTTACTTACAATTTCAATGGTATTAATGATTTGCCATTTATATCATCAACTTTTATAATTCGAAACGTGACCATTAAGTAATTCAACCAGTAACTACTCTTCTATAAGATTTAGACATTTACAAATGACTGAACATTGAGTAGTGACCAACATAGTATTTATCTAGTATACAAGTGAAGTTTTATTAAGTGATTACATAATACAAATGAAGGATTACAATGAATTAATAAGTGGATGTGTAAAATATCATTGTGAATAACTATGTACTCTAATCAGTGAAACTGATATTATGAGTTAATCGAAGCTAGACAACCATGAAAAACCTAGAAGCATTAGACGGCTGTTTCATCCTATCATTCTTAATGCTGATTTATTAGTTTTTGTCAGTATGTGGTACTACTTATATCTGTCGACATCAATAGGATACACTACATTTAGTGTCGCAGCTAACCAGAAGGAGGAGAGGATGCTGTTCTGCGGATGCTGTCAGTGTCATGGGTCTGAGGTGCTAGTTGGTACGGTCTACTGTGGGGAGGTAACTTCTAGTGGGTTATTCTGGCGGGTCGACGTTGGATATGGCGGGTATTGTCCACTAATAGGGGCAGTAGGACTTGCGGCTTTTGAGTAGATATCGGATATAGATGGCTGGGCGTACATTGGATTAAGATGGTGTTGTGTGAGCGAGAATGATCATGATTGGTTGTCTGCCTAGTCAGACATGTAGACAGTTTGACAGGTGTCAGATAAGTTATATATTCCCTTACCCTTATTATTGTGACTCATATACATACAACATACTCATACACTTATTATTGATTGTTCATTGTTGTGGATTGTGTCGGTTTCGGGTGTGGAAATATATACACGTTGTGATCAGTCTA